CCGTTAAGCTGGCGTGATCCACTTCTCATTCATTGAAACCGCCAAACCTCACAACAGTCATGTGGTTCTGATGAATGCATTTTAAAACACTCTAGGCAACGCACAAATGCAGGCTTACTCGCTAATACGTATAAGCTCACACAAAATCTCGCGTATAAAGTCATTTATGCAAACGACGTTGAAATGCTAAGTAGGCATAAATTAACTGCAGCCTCGTCTCCCATCTTTCTAGTGGCCAAATAAAGTTAAGATTAAAGAGTGGATAACATTCAAATACGTGCCTGCATATCACCGAGGTTGGTCTTACTGACGTCAACGTCATTGTCTAATGCGGAATAATCGAAGAGGTCCAAGTCGTTTCCCTCGTCCCCCTGATTACGGTCGCCAGTACGGTAGCGATTTGGGAATCCCTGATTCATGTATTGCTCCAAAATCTCATACTGTTGTTTATATATCTCATGCTCCTGTGGCGAGGCCAGCTGCGCCGCGATTTTGCAGTGCTTTAAGCCGTGAATAATTGTGTCTACATCCTCGTGGTTGTATATACGGTTCTTTAGCAACACCAAAACCATGTAGAGTGGTATGAAGTAGGGTCGAAAATAAAAGACTAAGAGCTGGTAGCCGATCAATCCAAGAATCGAGTGAAGTGGGTTTTTCCACAACCACCAGTCGTCAAGAACTCGACCGCACCAAATCAGTAGGTCCAGTAGGGGTTTTACGTGTTCAAATCGCCGCTGCAAAAGCTAAAATATTGATAAAAACAATCTTTTCAGATGAATGCCAATAAATAGTGGGTGATGTGGTTGGTAGGTTAGCAAAATCAAAGACTTGGGTTTTGCTCATTTGGTGAGCCTTAAGAGGAAGTACGCGTCGCCCTATGCTGACACTGAGCTCGAATGGATGCCTCATGCTGCACCGCAACAAGACCTGCCTTCAAGCCCAACTACTGGCCTCATGAGATGCCGGCATAGTTAAAATACATTTGATTTTTCAATGCAGTTACCCAGCAAAAAGCTGTGCCTCCTTTTACTACTCTGCTTTCAATGTCTATAAGTTCTGTCCAAAATGGAATTTGGTATGAAACATCGTCGAATTGTATAAAAAATGAACATTTCTTCCATTGTTAAAACTTATTTCTCAATGTCCTATCCATCAGTAGGCAAAAGCCTCTGATGAAGTTGTTAGTGTTTAAACTATTAAATGGCAGCTTAGGAAATGTCAACAAACCAAACCGCAAAAGCTGTCCAGAATAAAGATAGCAATGAAGCAGGCGTTTGAAGTTCGAACAAAAAATGTTTGCAATGTAGCTGTCATTAGAGGCTGGATTCACCAACAACGCTTCATCAAACTTTGCTGCTTCAAATAAGTAGCAATAGCGCCAGAGGTTTGGCTTGCTAAATGCCGTAAGCGTGACGTAAGTTAGCAACATCGTGCTAGTAACGGTAGAAGGAGGAAGTAGTGTC